TTCTTATAAAGGTTCCTACCATTAGATAAAAAATGATCAAAATTATGTACCAAAAAAAAAAAAAAATCAAAATTATTTGTCAGAGTTTTGTGAATAACAAATACTGTAGACTAACAAATAAATATGATTGCATAGGAAAAGGATTAGTGACTCACGGTGGTGATATATCAGAGGCTCAGAATGAAAAACGGTCCCAATGCCATGTCCCACAAAACGGTCCACCACGCCGAACCCAAATGTCTCAGCATATTCACTAGAAAATGAACCAAAAAAGAAAAAGGACAAAAAGGCAAATTCACATACTACGAAGTCAAATATCAGTAAGAATCGACATGTTATGTGTGGTATCGAACATCTTAAATTCTGCTAAAGCCTTTTCGTTTACATTCTCTTACAGCTGTCATATAGAACACCTTGTATAAGATCCCTACAAACCATCTTTGCTTATATGCAAAACAAGCGGCAGCGCCCAAATTTAGTTTTCTAGCCTTTGTTTTATATTATTTGGGTTCTAGAGTTTCGTTTCTTGCTTCTAGGGCAGTTAAGTTTTTAGTTATACCTTTAGTATTTCTCCATTTTTTTTTTCTTATGAAAGAATTGTGATTTTGTTTTTCTTTTTACAGAAATTAGCACTCAGCAATTCATTGGACAACACCAATCCACTTGACATACTCATCCGTGACAGTCACTCGCCTTTATGGACGGCTCACAAGATCAAAATAGTACTTTTTGTGGCTTCTTCAATAAAACTTCACTTTGTTTATATATAACCCTTGCATGAGAGATTTTGAGGGATCTATCTTTCACTCCATTAGCTATCACTCTCATTCCAAGACTCACTTTTCATCATTTCTCAATGGAAGCTACTTGGATTTTCTCGGCTAAAACTGCCCCCCAACAAAAACCCAAACAGAACTAATATTCAAATTAATTATGGTCTATCTTGAAAAATCAATTTACGCAACACATAACTGCAACAAAAAAGATAATAATGATTAATCGCACTATTGATTGGTTGGATTTGGACACAATTTACCTTATCTAACTTTCTTGGGTACATGCAATTACACCAATAAAATCTCCAAAAATACAACCTGCCAGTTTCAATTAACAAGTACCTTATCTTCTTCCCGATTTTCCTGAACAAGGCACCATCTTTGCAAGCAGCAATGCCCCTATGCATGCATTCCTCTGTCACCTGCATAAATAATAAAGAAAACATACAGTACTAAACAATTGCCACAGAAGAAATTGCAACATAGTTTAACTAGAGCTACTAAAAGCAAGAGATACCTTTACGAGCCGTTTCATTCCATCATTTACATTACCACAGAGAAAGGTCTTTGACGTGTCTCCATGATAACCCTGAAAAGGACACAGTTAACAGCAATTGGTTAGAGATAGAGATAAAAACCAATATGGAAATCCGAGTACTTGATTTTGTGCACATACGATTTTGTCCTTGAGAACTACAAAACCTTATAATGCATGCACTCATGTGAAAATGCCAACAGAAGATGACCATTAACATCGGATTCTTGTTTTAGTATCATTGGTGTGATAACTACTTCATAAACAAATAAAGAGAGGCTGACCAAACAAACAGCAACTTTACAAATGTAATTATGTTAAATGCATTTTTAATTTCAACCAAACATGGCAGAGGATAAGTAATGAATATATACGCCTGAGTACAACAAAATTTAGCAACAAAAGTAATAACCAACATCTTACATTCAAGTAGACCGTCACATCAATGTTTATTATATCACCATCCTGCATACAAATAAATATATATTACTTGACAGAAATTTTGAGAGGACAAAAGTTTTCTAATCATAAAACGCATGTTACCTGTAATTGGCGTGAATCAGGTATTCCATGGCACATACACTCATTAACCGATGTGCATACACTCTTTGGAAAGCCCCCATACCCTAGTGGAGATGGGTAAGCACCAGCATCTATGATCATTTGGTGAACGGCTTTATCAATCTCATTAGCCGTTACTGAAGGCTGAGATTATAAGTTCAAAACCAAGTAAGTGGACTTTCATGAATAATTCAACATACAAGTTGCCTGTCCAGTCCCCCAGAATAATAATTACATCATAGAACGCAAAACGTTTTTCTACAAACATGGAAAATCACATTTTCTCCTATGCAGAACAAAATTACTGAAACTGCATTAATGACTGAAAAAGAATTGGTCGTAGTAAATATTACATTAACAGTTAGGATTCCTCGTTTCTTTATTCCCAAGACTAATAAAATTGCTAGACAATATATATATATATGAAGAGAGAGAGAGAGAGAGAGAGAGACAGAGAGAGAGAGAGAGAGAGACAGAGAGAGAGAAATATCTAGTCTTCATAATATCTACACAAAAAATGTTACCCACTCAACCGTGCAAAGCAAAATGCCGAAGCTAGTGATGAAACCGGGTAGAAAACTGAACAAGCATTATCAGCTTAAGCTTTTAAATTCACAGCAACTCATGAAGAAAAATATCATATCTAGGTCCTTATTACTTAAAACACTACAACTTCTCACCCTAACTAAAGTCCCAGCATAGTCAACCACACGAGCAGCAAGCTCACAAGCAGCCCTCATGCGAGCAAGCCCTTCAGCATCATGAATTTGATGCTCATTTGCAATTTCTGGCAACAATGGTGAACCAACATAAGGAGGCCTTTGAATGTGATCGGGCACAGGAAGTCCTTTTGATACCTTCCCACGCCTCAAAGGAAGCCTTCTTTTAGCTTTGGGCGAAGTTTGAAGCTCACGCTGCCTGTTTCAGTACACAAGATGCCAGTTTCTATATGTCGGATGAGTTAAATCAAGCAAAATAACTATGCAGTTATACTTTTAAACAAAGAAAGAATTAGCTGAAATTATATTTACAACTGTCCAGAACTTTCCTAGTAACTACTGTAAGAAAGGTCTAGTTTGTAGGCAAATCTTGATCTGACAATGTTGTATTAATACGCTATTAAGATGCTACATGGGTCAGCTGCTAATTATAAGCACTGGAAGTATAAGACTTTAGCTAAGCAAGTATGTTTACCTTCTTATTCTGATGGACTCTGCCAAGCCAGATATCCTCTTTGCTTGAATAACCAAAGGCCTTGTCGGTTTCAAAGCTTAGAGAAATCACAAGAACATAAATAAGAAACTTCAGAGCTACGACATGAAGCAGAAACCGAATACTTCACATAAAACTTATTCAATACAGTAAGGAAAAGAAAATCAAGCTTTTGCAGACTCCAAATCTTTAAAACAATCATTAGAATAACTACTAATCATATTCTTATAACGCCATCTCCTACTGTCCTACAAAAAGTTAGGGATGGAAATGGCTGGGAAGACACATAACACGAACACAACACGATTCGTATACACGAATATACCGACAAATGACACAATGGATACCATACGACACACGACACGAAAACAACAACGTAAACAGATAACACCATTGTGAAACACTAACGCGACACAATAGCACAATTTGCCACCCAAATCGAAAAAAAACTCCAAAATCCATACATGACAACGGGAAGTTTCAACACTATTTCCTACAAAACTGAACAAAAAGGGCACATAAATTCATACGAACTCATAGAGGCAAATACACAAACACTTGGCGGAAAAAAGATAAAACATACTGCGTAGAGGCGAAGGATTGGGGGAAAAGAGCTGAGTCCCGATAAGAAGAGTTGAGGACGGCGATAATTTAGCTTCGCCATGGAGAAATGAAGATGAGAGCTTCAGTGATGCTGTTGCCTGTGAGAGTGAAGCATTCACCATAACCATTTTTTCGGCCAGAAAATATTTTATTTTTTCCTCTGTTATTTTATTTATATCGTTTGTGTTTTGAATAGCTGAAAATGGGAGGTCGTTTCATCATCATATCTTGTGACTGATATTTTTAGGGATGTTACATGTGCAGCAAAGGGATATCAACGACTGAGATTAATATTATCAATCAACTATTATTATTATTATTATTATTATTATTATTATTATTATTATTATTTGGAACGGCAGAAATACTCATATATAGAATAAAAACGTACGAATGACTAACTAGTCTGAATACAAATTATGAACAATGAGGAACAACTAGCACTGGTGCCCTAGAACTAACTACAAACTAAACAAGGAAGTTATAGGCGAGCACAAACACTCGGATCTTACAACCTCAAATACATCAAAATCGAACAAACAGAACTAAAGATGAAAACTGAACAAAAGAACCTAATCAACTAAGGTCTCTTGCATCACTCTACAACGATCTGCGGTTTTTGAATGCTATTCACTCTCGCCAAGCATTTTTCACTATTGAAAAGAGAGTGAGGAGTACAGAATGCGTAGACTGTGTTAGAACACATAAATTCTGTATTGCAAAATTGTGTTGCAATACAGAAAAAATAAAACTTAAAAGCGGAAGCGATATAAAAAATTATGTCTTCGGGAAGCGTCCCACTACCCATCAGAGCTCTTTCATTGATAAATCGGTTTTGCATCCCACAAAATATAGCTTGACTTACTCGACTCGGACTCTCTCCTAGTCTAGCCAACACCATACCCGATCCTATCAACTACTTCTCTGGTCACGTCTCGTGGACTTTTCACACTCGAATCCCTAGAGCAAACCAAACAAACTAAGTTCGTTAACAATGTAAGAACACTGAAGTGATGTGACGAACAAAATAAAAAATAATAAAAATCTCTTAAACACTCAATTGAATCTGATGAATGATGAACGATTTGAAGCAGCTATCTTGTCTTCAATTGATTGTTTGACTAGGCTTATATACAATTTCCTTAAGGTAAGGAGTCTTCACAAGTTTCTCATTTTCCTTTTATGAGTCAATTTTCTTCTCAAATGATTCCTTTCTGATTTGGACGAAATCCTTCATTAATAATAAGTTTCCTTGATATAGAATTCCTGTGTGTGATTTAGAGATTTTCAGAATTGAGCTTCCAATGAAAATCTTTTGTTCCCGGTCTAATGTAAGAACACGACTTTCCTAAAATATCCGATCTTCCAAAACTTCAAAGATCTTGTGGTGAATCTTTCCAAATCCTCCTCATATCTTTTCATTAAAGTCCAGAAATCATTATGCACGAATTGTTCATCCTTTCATAGTCCTTGTTACATATTCCTTGTCTTACAAGAAAGAGAAAACTAATTATTGCATGAGGTATATATGGTAAGTAAATATATAAAATATATATTATGTAATCCTTCATCTGAAAAATTAAGATTCCATAATACATACTACAATAAATATATACCATATATTTTTAATAATAAATATTAAGAATTTAAATAATTCACAATCAAATAGAAAACTTCCCTTTAATTTATTTCGTTGCTTAACAAGTAATCTTCTAGAAAATACTTAGGTTTGTCGGACAATGCCAAACCAATATTCTTACAATCTCCCCTTTTGACATTCAGTTCAAAAACCGCATTTATTAAAAATAATCTACAACATAAACTCAAAACAGCAAAACAAATATCTATGTGCGAACATCAGGAAATAAACTACTCAAACACCGGCAATATAAGAACATCAGAATAGTTCATATCAAAATAACTAAGATAACTATGATCAAAGCAATCAAAACACATCAAGCTATCAGAACCTAAGCCAAACATAATGACCAATTTATCTCCCACTATCAGAATAGACAAAACAATCAAACAACAAGACATAGATGATCTTACATGGTCGGTCTAAGTTAATGTATGTCAAGATAAGGTCTTGATCTCGAAAGCCGAATAAACTAAATCTCCGTTATGTGAGCTGTATCCAGGGGCGGAGCCACCCCAAAGGCTGGGGTGGGCTCCAGCCCAGGCTAGTTTTGTGAAAGCCATATATACTTATATATAGAAAGCCCACATCTTGTTAATTTAGCACATTTTTTATCATAATTCAACCCAATAGACAACCTTTTTTTTTTCAAAAGCTTTTCGTCATTTAGCATTTTTTTTTTTTTCAATGGAAGAGAAACTAAAGAAAGCTAACAACTTTACTAATGGGAGTATTGAACAGATTTTTTTATTCCACTCCTTACATTAGTCCTTTTTATTTTCTGTTATATTTATGAAAAGACTACATTGTTCATTAAATAAAATGTTATTTCTTGTGTATATTTATTTTAATTGCCTTAAAAAATATACTTATAATTTATGACTTACACTTAATTTTACTATTTAATTTATTTGCACCAGTATATAAGGTTTATCAAAAGTTTGTTTAATGAATATTTAAGCATATTTGCTTGGATATAAATTTTTCATGTTTGTTCTATTTTTTTGATTTGGTATGGTTAATGTTGAAAAAATGGTATGGTTAGGTGTTAGTGAAATTTATTAAAATGGTGAAAGTTGATTGGATAAAAAAGTAGGAGAAATTTGATATGACGTTATAGTTAGTTAAAATTATGTGAGTGAATAAATAGTGAATTAAAATTGATATAATGTGTAAAAATGATTGAATGGTTGTATTTAATTGTATTACTTTTAATTGTATTGATAATATTGAGGATATAGCCAAAGATCCTTTTAGCATTCAGTTTAGTTTGTATAGTCAATTATAATATAGAAAGATGAGAAAAGAGTTAGTAATGAAAATGATACGCTTTTTCTATTCATTTTAGCTTTTAACATTATGCATACTTTATAAGATATTAGACAATAGCTTTTATCATTATATATACCTTATAAGATATTAGACAAGTTATATTAATTAATATGTTCAAGTAAAAATATTATGAAAATTTAATGCATACGAAACCTATTGTGTTAATATTGATAGGATGGTTATTATATTTATTGTATAACTAATGTATAGTTGACACAAAAAAAAACTTTAGATCATTTACTCTTTTAAAAATTAAATTCAAAATTTTTGTAAAGAAATTATGGGCGACTAGACAGTGCAGTCAATCTGAACGTAACTAACTTCGGAACTGCTTAGTCCATTAGGGGCCGCCTATTCCATTTAGACGTTATTTAATCTTCTAAATGCATATAATGAATAATGATCGTCCAGGAAAAAATCGTGGCACCCAAATAAGCGCAAAAAGGTGTCTAGACACATTTTTGTAACACTGTAAAACATGAAGCAATTATATTTCAATGAAAATTTAATTTCTATTTTTTTTTATTTTTAATATTGGATTATGTAAGTTACATGTTTGGTGAAAACTCAGCCCAGTGTAGTTTTTTTTCCTGGCTACGCCCCTGGCTGTATCGATCAAAGATTTAATGAATTAAGCTTCTAGATCCATATTTAAAAACTCGAGTTGAATTAGTTCAAAATTGTTTGTTGTGTATATAAATAAATAAACAAACTATATATATTTAAACTAATACGTCAATACTTGTGTTTGTTGAGTTTATTTTTCGGTTCGAAATCAACTCAAAATAATGAAACAACAAGATCGAACTTTTTTGGCTCATTAGTGATGATTTGAATGTTAGATTCACTCTTTTGGAAACAACAAGATCGAACTTTATTTTTCTGTTCAGCATATTTTATCCCCAATATGAACATAAAACACAATACTACTAAGTCAAAAGAAAATTAAACAAATATAAAATCAGAACAGAAGTACAATTTTTTTATTTTTAATTTAAAAAAAAAAAGAAACAAAT